TTAGGCTTTTATTTTCCTAATGACTAATGCAAAGATTCCTTGGAGAAAGGAAAGATGCAGAGATGGTGAAGCCTCGCCTAACATATTTCAGACACGTTGTTGGGAGAGGCTTTGTTGGAAAAGGACACCATACTTGGAAAGGTGGACGGCAAGTGAGGAAAGAAAGATCCTCAGTGAGAAGGACTGATATGGTATCTGTGGCAAGGGACTCAACTGTGTTGATAAGGTTGGCACAGGATACGGTTGAGTCCCTATCTATTGTTCATTGGATCGCAACGAGTCATATGCAACTTGACAGCACTTAGCAACAACAAATAGCGTTTAGCATCTTTTCCTGTGCATATTGGCTCTGTGAATCTTCTTTGGAGATATGTCTGTTCAAAATCCTGTTGCTATTTTTAAACTGGGTAATTTGTCCTTTCATCCACATCTTACTAGTTATCCTTTTACTTTTACAATAATGGTCTTATGCATTATTTGTTCTTATGAGACTGAGTCAGTTCACCCAGCATAATGTTCTGTAGATTCTCCTATGTTATTTTATTGGGTTTCATACAATAATTCATTTACATTTGGTTTCATTTTTATACATTGTTCCATACAATCCCCCATTTACATTGTTCCATGCAATCATTCATATATATTGATCATGCCTATTATTACACCATCGTTTCAAGTCCCAGTTGATTCTTTCCTATTCCCTCACCCTCCTCACAATCTGCCCACTAAACACTATTATTCTAGTGATATCCTTGTTCACATTTTTTCCACCACCCCTTCCCCTTGTGGACAATTATATACATCTTACTAGTTATCCTTCTATTATTACAATGGTTTTTTTGGTAGTATTTGTCCTTATGAGACTGAGTTAGTTTACTCACTATAATGCTCTCTAGACTCTCCCATGGTTTAGAGTATTTTACAAAACCATTGCTCCTAAGTGTTGCTTAGTATTCCATGTGTGAAAGTACCCAATTTCTCAATCCATTCATTTGTTGATGGACATTTGGGCCATTTCCATATTCTTTTTTAAAATTTTATTAATTTTAATGAACATTTACAGAGATTTTGGATTTCCATTCATTCATTGTTGCATTTTTCTCCCTGCCCAGCCCCCCCCCCACCACTTCACTTCTCTCTTTGAAAAGTAAAAGAAAAATCCCTTCGTTGGTATACAAACCCCCCCTACCCCCCCACCACCACGAGTACACTCCACTATGCAACCTTAATTCTGGACTCCTGTGATAACCATAATACGCTATCATATATCACTTTTAAACTGTTCTCTCCCTCATCTGTTTCAATGCAGCATACATAATTTATCCAGTTTTTTTCAGTTCCCCCCAACCTTGATGTCAGTCCCATTCTACAACAGTGGCACCATGCAATATTTGTCCTTTCGTGACTGAGATATTTCACTCAGCATAATGTCCTGCAGGGTCACCCATTTTGAATAATATTGCAGGAGTTCCTTGTTTTTCAATGCAGCATAGTATTCCATTGTGTGAATACAAGAGAGCTTCTCTATCCATTTGTTTGTTGACGGGCACTAAGGTTGTTTCCAATTCCTTGCTAGTGTGAACAAAGCTGAGATAAACATGGGTGTGCATATATCTGTTTGGATGTCATTTACGGTCTCTTTAGGGTATATTCCCAGTAATGGAATTGCTGGGTCAAATGGTATCTCTATTTGCAACTTTTTGAGAAAGCGCCACACCA